GATTGGGAAAAATAAAAAGAACAAAATTTGTACAAAGTGATCCCAAATAAGAATTTCTAAAAAACACTAAAAGAGGTAAACAAAAAAACAAAAACTAACAATCTCTGTTGTCACTTTTTTCCTCAAAAAAAGACCGCAAAAAATTAATCCGAAGACTGATGAGACAACTTCGCAGAAATAAGTTCTAAACTAGGTACACTGATAGCTTAGACTCCTGGAAGCTAATGTCCCGACCAAACATCTCAATTTTAAAATTTGAACTGCTCCATAACAATTTCAATAATTTTATCAAGAATAAAAGTTAGAAAAAGGCCGATAAAGAGAACGGACTGCCATATTTCAAAATTGCAGCACTAATAAGGTATCCAAAAAAAAAATTTTTTTTTCAGTGCCAATTCACCATTAAAAATTCAACAAATGCGAGTGCGTTGAAAAAAAGAAAAAAAAAGAACAACAGAAGTACTAACACACGAAAAATTTGCCGGCTCACTTCGTAAAAAACAATTGCAATAGTGCCACTGCAGCAACTACTTGCGGAAGCAGTTCCTAAAACACTAACCTTAGCAGTCAACGCCGTATCACAGAAAGACAATCATGAATGCGAAGACTCAGATGACCGGGCAATAATTCGGAAAATTAGTAGACAAAATTCAAAATTTTGTTGCTATGGAAACTACAGTAGAACACAATGAGATTCACTTTCCAGAGAGCACTCAGCTGTGTACTACCAATATCAAGCACCTTCGAAGGATTACTTTTCCAGACCAAAGCTAACAACGTAGAGAACTTTTTTGCAGCTAAAACGATACCGAGGAGTCTCAGCACTCAAGATGAATAAGAAGAATGGAACTGAGAACCGTTTTTGAACTGAAGACCACAACACACAGTTTCGACAGGTCTACTACATCTTCTTCAAAAGCCTTCATCAAATTTTACTCAACAAAATTATAAAAGAAACTGCGAAAGGTAACAAGAAAGCCAAAATTATCAAAATTTCAGAACAAGTATACCCTTTCTAGATCAATTTCCAGAAACCCTTTTAATTTTCACCCTCCCCTTTCCATCTTGTTCATATATATATATACTTATTCCAGACTGATAAGTGAACTTGTCCAGCGTTAAACGTAGGACTAACTTCAATCACTGTACTGTTTCAAATTCTCTCCAACTTTGACGCATTTCACTAAATTACCATTTTCTTAGATTTAAACTTATGGGGGCTGCCCAAACCCTCCCAGCCTTCTATCGCCGATCAAAAGCAAACATCACATTCATAAAATGCATCCTGAAACGCCACCTTTTAATCAACAACTAATTAACAATTGTTGCGATTAAAATGCACCTCAAATAGTGCAATTCAAAAACAGGTTAACACTGATCGGCAACAACTTTTACCCAATCAACAGAAGTTTGCTCTTCCAGTTGACATTTAATCAAGTTTATGCACTTGTCCAGAATTAGAATAAATACCACTTATCTCGTTCAAAATTTTTGATAATCAAATATTGAAATTTTAAACTGAAGTATTAAAAACAACATTAATTTCTGAATAACATCTTACCACTTCATACTGAATTGTCTCCGAGCAACCAAACAAAATTACCAGATTCAATTTATTTAAATAAAAAAAGAAAAATGATGAATTCAGAATTGTATCTAAAACGGGCCTGGGTCGCATTAAAATATGTGAAAGGTTCTTCACAAATTTCAGATTCCCAATCATCAGAAAGGAATAAGAAAGGAAAACAATCACACGTGACGATAGTACCAAATGCAAAGCAACAATGAAAGAAATATTCACAAAACTCAGCACTATTCTTACCCGATGACGGCGCAGGCAGAGGACCCCAGCGAACGCTTCCCGTCGAAACTTACTGACGGCTCGGAAAGATACCGGATGGCAGCCCTTCAAAAGTTTTAAAGGGCGACAAGGCTTCTAACCTTGGAAAGTGCGAAAAGTTCCCAATGCTACGAGCCGACTTTAGAAAAATAAATTCGCAGTTTTCGCCGAAACTGAATAAAAACGCCAAGAAACTTCATTCTCGAGACGTTTTTTCGATTGCCCTCATAAAACATCCAAAAGCCAAAAGATCTACATGTCCTGGCTGGAAACTAACGCATTCACCTACTAATTGCTACCAAATTAGCAAAATTCCTGACTTCGTTCCAAAAGAAAAAAGGAACAAACATTTAGACTTTCAAATAAAACATCAGATACTGCAGCTCATCAAAAACTTAGTTCTAAACTTTGACATCCTAACACTTAGAATCTGCTATATTTTGTTTTCAGCAACAGTTTTACTGCCGTAGTTTCTCGACTCAATACTTGTAAATTCCTTAGTCTATTTTTTCCCAGTTACTTACAGCATCTGTAGACAACCTATCAGGCTACGACGACCATTAAATACGTTATAACCCTTAAATTTTCCCTGAAAACTGTTTGGGAAAGCTACTGAGAGAAGAATGGAGTGTAAAGAAGAAATTGAATTTAACGGTTTTAAGAATTATGGCGACCAAAATGTCTCTAAACAACACTTCACCTACAGCAACTTGGAATGTTCGCTTCATAAACTTCCCTGCAAAACCCAAAATATTTTCTGCTAGTATCCTTCAATTTTTTTTTTGAAAATTCAAGCTACTAAACGGCTCACACCTTTAAAATTCTATTAGAAGCAAAATACAGAGAAATTCAAACAAAAAATGCAATTTCTTGGTCATATGTGGCTTTAATTCGTTTCTTTTTTTCCAAAATTTAGTCGGATTCCAGTAAAAGTGCAACTCATCAAAGTACAGATGACCTTAAATTAGCCAACAGCCAATAAAGCCACCTTTCTTTTCTAAAACTAAAATTTTACGCACTGCCTAAGAAGGCAACAGTTAAATCACCGATAGATGTTGCAGAAATTTTAGTTTTTCACCAAACAATACACACAAAATAATCTTTTCCCATCAAAAACCAACGTGAAAACAATGTTTTTGTGGTTTTCGTGCGTTGACATACAAAACTTTGCATAGTTTTCAGTTCCATGAACTCAGAAACAGAAATCTTCACACCACAGCCTTTGCTGGTCCACAAACTGATTCGGCGCTGGTTTTTCAGGAATCGTTCTCTACAAAAATATACCAATTACAGCACAACTGCTGTAGTCAATGTGTCCACAGTAAAGCCCCTTGGCAAGTTGCCCAGCGCAGCGGTACGGATCCACTGCATCACATAGTTTCAAAATATGTGCTTCCACTACATGGGTTGTGACAAATACGCATGAACCACTGGGAAGTCGTTGCCGTATTGGAATGTCTTCGGACTGTTGCTTACCCACTCGTCACAAGAAATATTCATCGCCAGAACTGTAAATAAAATTGTCACTTTAAGGCATTATGAAGTAAGGAAAATCAAATTTGTTGAGAAATATTAATCTTGCTAAATTCTTTAAATCTGCTCTAACTGTATATAAATTAGAGACATACTCCTTTTTCAGAAAATGTGGCTCAAGTGTATGAAAGTGCCTCACTTTTCTGCGCTAAACTCTCCTAAGTTTTGCCAAGCACTTACTTCAATAATGAATTTTTTAATAAAACGTTAAATTCTTTCAATGTCATAATATAGCAGAAAAACAAATGTAACGAAAACTTACTACGTCTGTTTCGATTGTACCGCAGAAGTAACGATGTCAGAGCAAATAAAATACAGAGGAAATCAATCAAAGTTGTTTATTCCGACCAAAAATCAAGAATTTAAAAATTATTAACTTTAACTGCTGCCCTATCTCTTAATTCAGTTAATAACTGGATGCATAATTCTACCTTTATCAAAATTTTTGTTAAGTTTTATCACCCGTCAAAAAATGTTTTACGGAAATGTATAGGGTTGCGAAATCACGTAATGCCCACAAGCTTCACAGTCTAATATATGGTAGTATAAAATC